GTTTTACACTAAGAAATGAAGTAGTTAGATTATTTTCTGAGCATATATACAAATTAGATGAGTCTGGTGGCTGGAGAGAAAATCTAGTGTTCCTCAGAGCATGTTTGAGTTCCTGGGTAAGCAGTGTTCGTCATAAAAAGGGAAACTGGAATAAAGGCAGAGGGTGAGCATTCAAGCCTACTAAATTTTTGTTTTTTGTCCACCACCCTTTTCCTCTCCCCCTTTTCAGTGAAGTGTTAATTGACTTTAAAATTGTTAGGTTTCAGGGAAGTATCTAATGAAGCATGAAGGAACAGTCACAGTCTGTTTTGTACTTGGGGTAATGAAAGATGCCTTGGAATGAGAGTTCTACTGTGAATACTGTGCAAGATCTGTTTGTTGCCCTGTGGGGTCAGGCCAACTCTCAGGATCTCAATATTGCGCTGTTAGACAGGAGGGTGTGACACAATTGCACATATACAAACACACAAATCAGTTAGGTGCATACACACACACACTACCAGCTCAGACACATACACATCCAAACCAGCCTAGGCACATGCATACCTATCACCAATTCAAACACATACACTATACACCCCAAACTTAGACACAGATCACAAATTTGTATATCTTCACACAATGCTGTATATACATAGATACACACACTCACCAGTTCACACACATACAACCCACCTACATATACATACAGGTAAGTTCCTAACTTGGATGGTACAGTGTGTATGTGTGTGCTTGGGGTACCTGGGATACTTGGGGGAAGGTTCAGGCAAGAGAGGGAGTTAAAGTGCAGGGAGTGAAAGTTGCCAGAACTGGGATTAGAACTGGTGGACTACAGAGAAGCTGGCTAAGGAACTGAGGCTTGGGTTTACTTAAGGTAGACTGGGGCTTGGGTTTACTTAAGGTAGACTGGCACAATGGTGGGTTGCCTCATCTTTTGTTTCTTGAATGCTGAGGGTGGTTCCAAGGGCTGGGTCATTGGTTCAGATATTGGCATTGATGGTTCACTCATTCAGAGGGAGCTATTTTTAGACCTACTGCCATTCATCCCCATTCATTCAGGAACCAAGTTACATAGGTGGGGTAGGTGCAAGTCATGGGTTATACAACCGCCCGGGGACAGGATGGAGACTTGACAAACAAAATGGAAACTTGACACGACCTTACGTATGTAGGCCTAAATCGTATAGTACCAGTAAAACAGTAGTATAGAACAGTAAAAATCAATGTAAATATAATAATTATAGAATATAGAGGAGGAGAAAAAAACAAAACAAATACAACTTGCTACCAAAATAAAATGCTGAAGCTTATCCTATGTCTTAGCTCACTTATACTTATGTATAGGGAATAGAGAGGGAAAGAAAAAGTCAGAAATGGTTGGGGAAGGGGAGGGAATGCGTTTTAAAAGAAAAAAGACTGGGGGTTTTGCTACATATTTTATGCAATTGGATGTGGCCACCAAAAGGTTTTGAGTATAATATGAAGATAGTGTGAGGAACAAAAGTCAAGTGAAGACTAAGCATCCTGTTTCAATGAGGAGGAATGGTGGAGACTGTACCAGAGATTGCCTGGCTATTGTTTGCAGTACCTAAAACTGTATACAGATTTCCTTTTGATTTTATGCGGGTTCTTTACATGTAAATTTGCTCTCATATGATGAGCATATTTAGACTCATACTTCATTATATGTGAATTAAGTTCACTCTTATGTGATCAGTGTAGATGCTCCCCGCACCCAAGCAGGTAAGTCTGTGGGGGGAGGGAAAGGGCCATGGCCCCACTCACCTCAGCCCCGAGTGCAGCAGCCTCAGGAGCAGCCAGCACCAGCTGCCTGCAGCTGCTGGGCTGCACCATGCCCTGAACTCCCTGGGGCTCTGTCTGTCTGCTCTCAACCCAGCTCCTGCTGCAGCTGCCCCGGGAGCAGCCGATGCCAGCTCCCTGTAGCCGCTGAGCTGCAATGTGCCCTTGTGCAGGCAGTTGGTGTCGGCTGCTCCTGGGGCTGCTCCAGCACAGGCTGGGGTGAGTGTGGACAAATGGAGTCCTGGGTGGTGCAGGGCATGGCACTCACCCCAGCTCCAGCTGCAGTGGCCCCTGGAGCTGCTGGCACCAGCTGCCTGCAGCTGCTGGGCTGCACCGTGCCCTGAACTCCCTGGGGCTCTGTCTGTCTCCACTCACCCCAACTCCTGCTGCAGCTGCCCTGGGAGTGGGTGATGCCACCTTCCTATAGCCACTGGGCTGCACCGTGCTCTGGTGCAGGCAGCAACCAGGGCCACTGCAGCTTGCATACTCGGAGAACAGTCTGTTGCTATAGTTATTGTAACTGCCCTTCAGGTATTTAAAAATTCAAATCCCTCTTCAGTCTTCTTTTCTCCAGACTAATCCCTGTTGTACCAGTCTTTTCTTGACCTCTAATTTTTTGTTGCTCTAAACTTTCCAATTTGTTTGCATCTTTCCTATAAAGTGCTGTGCCCATAACTGGACACAGTAATGCAAGTGAGGCCTCTGCAGTACTGAATAGAGAGTATTCCCAACCCTCAGCCTTGGACAGGGGCGGCAGGTGGGGGACACCCCCCCCCCCCAAGC